CCCTTCACCTCTCTTTTGCTCTCTGCCTCACTCTCGTCCTCCTCCACGTTCCTCTCTATTTCTCTCTCAAACACACAGATTTAAAATAAAAAAACAACAATAGCCTTGACACTCACAGACACACCCTCACACAGAGACACACACACACACACAGAGACACACCCTCACACAGAGACACACACACACACACACAGAGACACACCCTCACACAGAGACACACACACACACACACAGAGACACACCCTCACACAGAGACACACACACACACACCCTCACACAGAGACACACACACACACACACACAGAGACACACCCTCACACAGAGACACACACACATACACACACACAGAGACACACACACACACACACACACACACACACACACACACACACACACAGAGACACACACACAGAGACACACACACACACACACACACACACACACAGACACACACACACACACACACACACACACACACACCCTCACACACACACACACACACACACACACACACAGACACACACAGACACACACACACACCCTCACACAGACACACACACACCCTCACACAGACACACACACACACACACACACACACACACACACACCTCACACACACAGACACACACACACACACACACACACACACACACACACACACACACACACACACACACACACACACACACACACACACACACACACACACACACACACACACACACACACACACACACCCTCACACAGAGACACACACACACACACAGACACACACACAAAAAAATGGACTTAAAACTAACTAAGACCACAGGCTAGTCAACAAGGAACATTGTGTGCACTGTCTCACACACACAAACTCTCAGTTCAACCAAGTCCACAAACAAAAATGTAACAATTTACAATAGCGTCAATAACAAAATGCGTGAAAAGTTTTTTTGTTTTTTTTTATCTTACTATGCGTGTTTCTTCTTAGTGGGACTTCTGGCATTCCTTGCCTTGAACAATCCTCTTCAAATCTGGCTTGTATTCCGTTGTGGCCACTCGAAGCAATTCTTTCACATGTGTGTCTGTCAGAACAGATCGATGTTTTGATTTCACGTGTTTCAGGGTAGAAAACAGACTCGCAGACGTATGTTGACCCAAACATTGACAGTAGCTTGAGCGCAGCCCGTTTGACATTGGGGTATTTTTCCATTGGCACACTCTTCCAGAACTCAATGGTCCCTTTACTTAGAACAGGTTTCAGTTGGTCCTCCTCACAAAGATCGATCATCTCCAACTCGGCCGCTGCCTCGTCTGTGACTAGCAGGGCTTTCAAACAGTCCGTCTCTGCATTAAACGGGTCGACGAGGAACGTAATCTTTCAGCTGTAGATCACGGAACCGGGTCACAAAGCTTTCATGAAGGTTTTCAACCAGTGTTGCATATCTGGCTGTTTGCTTTTTCAGGGCGGCGCTGGTGGCTTGCCCGCTTGCTTTAGCAGTGTGCGAAAATGCGTTAATTCTCCCTTTTGAATATGTGTCTTGAACAGCTTCAGTTTGTTGACAAATGCAAACACACTTTGCACCAGGTCAGGCAGCATTTTTAACTTACCCTACAGATCCAGGTTCAGTCTGTCCAGATGACACAGCATGTCGACCAAAAAGGCCAGATCCATAATCCACTTGGCGTCAGAAAGCTCGGGAAGTCCTTGTCCTTCTTCAATGAATAGTTTCACAGCATCCAAAAGCTCAAAGAAGCGAGAAAGCACCTTGCCTTTAGACAGCCACCTCACAGTGCAGTGCAGCGGCAGGTCACCTGGAAGCCCTTGGTCCAGTTGGGTGATGAGATTCTTGAATTGCCTGTGGTTAAGTGCGTGTGTGTGGATGTAGTTGATGATTTCCATCACAGGCTTCATGACGTGGTCTAAATTCAGTGATTTAGACACCAGTTGCTCCCGGTGAATGATGCAGTGGAAATTCCAAAACTCTGGAAATGTGTTGTCAGCTTTGCACAGCCCCACAAGCCCGTTCACAGAGCAATTCAACTGCGGTGTTAATGTCTGATATTCTGTGTTCAACAATGTGGCGGGACAGTTGGACGTCTGATATCATTCGTTTTAGTTTGTCGTTTTCTGGAGACAAGATTTCAACCACGTCACTGAGGCATTTTTTAATGAACTCCCCTTCATTGTATGGCTTTTTAGCTCGTGCTATGTTCCAAGCCAGTTGATACGATGCAAGCGTTACGATCTCTGAGTGCGTCGTAATTTTCTGGAACAACTGTGTCTGCTTTTCTGTCTGATTTTTCAAACTTGTTAACTTGTGCTTGCGAAGCTCAGTACCTTTTGGAAATTCCTGCTCGATGTTAGCATGGAGTGAGCTGAAGTGACGCTGAAGATTTGAAGCCTTGAAATGTGCTAATGACGCCTGGCATATAAGGCAGAATGGCTTGCCATTATGTTGAACGAAGAAATATAAACTCTCCCACTCTGTTAAAAACGTCCTGTGTTCATCTTCATATTTTCATTTTGCTGTGCATTTTTTCCCTGCCATTTTCAGAGCGAACTTGGCTTGTTTCACACAAATTGTTTACTCAACAATAAGGCCCTCCCTCCCTCGAAGCTGATTGGTTCGCAGGCATTTTTGTGATTGGCTCGCAGGCTACATCAAAATTAGACATGTTGTCATGCCCTCTACTGACGGGCAAGGGCAATTTTTAACACAAACACAATGGATGGGCCTAACGTTACAACAACAAAAAAGAACACACAAAATTCTTTATGAACTGAGGAGCCGCATGAGACTGGGCAAAGAGCAGCATGAGACTGGGCAAAGAGCAGCATGAGACTGGGCAAAGAGCAGCATGAGACTGGGCAAAGAGCAGCATGAGACTGGGCAAAGAGCAGCATGAGACTGGGCAAAGAGCCGCATGCGGCTCGGGAGCCGCGGGTTGGCCAGACCTGAACTAAATCAATGAACTGAACTACACTTCTATTTGTTCCTGTTCATACGACTGAATTTCAGTCGGACTAACATGTTTACTTGTATTTTTTTAGTCACACTCACACAATAACAGGACTGCGCTTCTTCCCTCCAGGTCTCATGATTCAATCTGTTATCCTAAAAACGATTCGCGGAACTTCTCCGCTGTTTAATTACACATAAAGGGTCTAAATGATGCTGAAATAATAACAAAACAACACACCAATCCAGAGGAAAAGCTGATCGAGACAGCAAGTTGACCAGCATTTTATTTTACTGTCAGGTTCAAATGACTGTTTTTGTCAATGGAGTCTCACAGCTTTGAAGAGAGAGATATGTTACAGCTGTTTCAGGTCTGAAAAGAAAAGCTGTAATTTACTGTAGTCTGAGCATGAAAGTGATAAAAACACGACAATTTGTTGGATTATGTTTGGCTGATCACAATGATTACGTTGCAGTCGTTACAGCTTGTTTCACAGCTGCTGACTGAAGCGATTCACTGCAGCAATTCTAAAACCCCAAGATATGTGGAAAAGGTGAAATTTGTTAAATATACATGTGTTTTGATCACAATATTCAAAAGCAGCACTCACTCATAATAACAAAAAACAGTTATCCTTTCAGCAGCCTTGGTAACAAAATATCATGGAAATGATATGTAATACATAAATGAACTTCACTTCTCGTCCTTGTCTGAATCAGCTCTTCATCTAAATGATTTCTGCCTCTAGGTGGATCCCAACCTAAAAGCAGCCCTCTGTGCTGCTTTGAAGACAAAATAAAATCTCTAATGTACATTTTTCTCGAACTTAAAAATTCCATAATCTTGTAAAAAAGAGACGCTAAGTGTTGGGAAAAATATGCTCAGCGTTGATGCTAAAGATCAGAGTGCCCTGGCTCTGTGTTTTCATGGTGTTAACAGCGAGCAGCTCGGCAGGTTCCAACAAGAACGCAGCAGAGAGGAGGTCCACATTAAATTAGGGAAACATCTGGATTCCTCACAGCCTCTCTGACAAACACAGTGGAGCTGAATGAACATCAAAGAGTGTCTGATAGCAGTAAATGCCGCTCTGATACTCATGATTTATCAGCTCTGCTTCCGCGGGGATGTTCGACCTGTCCTGTTTTCAGAGAGGCAGGATGTGTCTCTCTCTGCTGTGTGCTGCACTGACGAGGCATTTCAAAGATCGTCTGGGGTTTCTGAGGTGAGCCACTTTCTGCAAAATGACACCACACCCCTCCACTGTAATTTGACTATTAAGAATCAAAAATGTTCTGCCTCAAACACTGGAGCCCCTCCTGAATCAAACAAGTACTGTCGTTAAGAAAGTCGGAGATTCCATTTTCAGGAGCTTTTTGAGCTTAAAGTCATGATTGAAGAAGGTTAGCTTAAATCAAATTGAAAGAAAACGTGCATGGCAACAGCTAGCTGCTGATGAAACACTGTAATGAAACATTCTTAAAGAGCACAGCAAAGACAAACACAGCAGCAGTGAAGCTCTGTCTGTTGAGGTTGCCAACATTTTGGATACTTGTGGTCAAGTGGTTAGGGCGCGCTCCACCACGTACAGAGGCTGTAGACCTCACAGCGGGTGGCCCGGGGTAAAAATCCGACCTGTGGCTCCTATTCCACATGTTATTCCCCACTCTTTCTCTGTCCCAGATTTCCAACTCTATTAAAATAATACATCTATTTCATAAAACAGGTCTGTAGGAGAGGAAAGCATCCATTTAAAAAAAGTCTTTATTACACAACATCATTGGCAATGATGTTTTTGTGCAATTTAGAAAGCCTGACCAAATGTTGGTCTTTAAAAACAAACTGTTACCTAGTACCTCTTTTTTTGTTGCTGTGGTATGAAACAGGTATCTATATAGTTTGATTTTCCCTAGAATTAAATGGAAGTTTAAAATCCTAGTATCTTGACAACCCTAATTTCAGTAAGTCTGACCACAGCTTCAAGGATCGATATTAGCGTGAGCACACTCCTGTATCCTGTTCATGTCATCCAGTCCAGCTCTCTGTGTGACTCTCACCTTGCACAGTCCCACAGTAGACGGGCTGCTCAGCATCTGGAGCAGAGCTGGTCTCTGCAGAGCGCCGCTGTCGCTGCAGCCGGTGTTTGTGTCCGGAGAACGACTGTGATGGGTCGTATTCACCCAGCGGCTGGATGAACAGGCTCTCCTCCCCGACCTGGATCAGTCCAGTCTGTGCACAAAAACAGAGACATGTATGAGATGAAACCATGAAGGAGATAACAAGTTGATACAGTACAAAGATATATGTTAAATGGATTGAGCTTAAATTGAATGTAACCTTCCTACTTCCTAAAGTCATGCCATCATCCTGACAGTAAACCAGTATGCAAAAAACCAGGATCCTGATTTGGCTGTTCCAAAGTCCAGGCTAAAAACTAAAGGTGACAGGGCCTTTGCTGTTAGAGCCCCCAGACTTTGGAACAGCCTGCCAGCGGAGATCAGACTTGCAGATTCAGTCCCTTCTTTTACATCCCTACTCAAGACATTCTTATAAAATGGTTTTATTCTGTGATTTTGGTAATTGTTCTTATTTATTTTATTAGTCTGATTTTGTTGTGTGCTTGTTTACTCTCTGCCTGTTGCTTTAATTGTCTGTCTGCTTTTACTTGTTACTTGTATAGAAAAGTGCTAAATAAATAAAGTATTATTATTATTATTATTATTATTATTATTATTAATAAAGTATTAATAATATATCAATGTTTAATTTGCTACCTTGTGGTTTCTCTAAATTGAAATGTTTTCTCTGACATGCTCAATAAGAGGCTCCATGTCTCTTATATGTATTTAACCTTGTTTAGCGCTTTTTTAACCTTCTGACTACTCAAAGCACTTTTAAGCTGCAGGTCACTCCCACTACTACTACTACCTACTACTGAGAGCTTCAGGAGATCTTTTGTCCCCACAGCCATCAGGCTTTATAACACACAGGCCAATAGCAGCTCAGGACTCGAGCTGTGGGTGGAACGTCACTGTCTGCCTTTTTCTTGTTTCTCTACCTAACACCCCGGGGATTAGTGCCATAATAATAAGTATTAAGGACTGCAGAGACTTCTAGTAGTTAATTATATCTATGCAGTTTTAAATTAACATTGTCATTTTCACTGTTTGTTCAACATTTGCCTTTTTAAATTGCTATGGGGTGATTATAAATTTCCCCCAAGGGGATGAATAAAGTATCTATCTATTCACACCCATTCACACACTGATGGCTGCTATGTAAAGTGTCCATCAGAATTATGAACTAATCCATTCATACACATTTATACGACGCCAATAAAGCAGCGGGATCACTTTAGGTTAGGAGTCTTGCTTAAGGACACATCGGACATGCAGCTGCACGCTCAGCTTAAAAGTTCACTTCAAACAGATTTAAATTAATTAGTTCACAGTTCAGTATTTTACATTTTGAACATAATTCACAGTCCAAAAAAGGAACTAGTTAATGTTCATTAATTTGTTTTGTTTTGGAGTTTGTTTTTTTGGCTGCACCGAGCTACTCTTTTTCAGTTGTACTGAAGCCCTAAGAGGACATGCAGCCATACATTTTACTCTTCTTACGCCATACTCTGTTTTCCTGTAATGACGAGTACATGTTTTAAGACAGCTGCAAAAATCTCATTATCAGAGGAAAACAGAAGCAACAATAAAAACCTAAAATGTATGGATGCATGTCCTCCTAGAGCTTTGTAGTCACCATCCCTTATGGTAGTTATCAGCTGTCCATGTTTGTGCACCACCTGTAGCACCTGTCTGATCAGACATTGTTTCCTTCTCTCTATATCAGGGATGGGCAACTTCGGTCACAGCAAGGGCCACATTCATTTAATACTCAATACCACGGGGCCAAATTGTAGAATACAAAAACGATTACAGTCAATTATGTCTCAAATTTAACTCAACATATATCAGTGATCAAATATTATTATGGACATATTTCTGGCTTTCATGATTTCATGGCAGATTTTGTCACGTTTTCTTCATGTTTTCCAATTAATTGATATGTAGAAATTGACCTGAGGGCCACGTTGCCCACCCCTGCTCTAGATCCTTGCTTGTGTTGTTCTAACTGCGATGTGTGTCGCTTTGGACAATAGCGTCTGCTAAGTGAATTGTAAAATTGTAGTGATCATTCACTCGTTAGTTTTAACCAAATTAAAGATAAAAACTATATTTATGACAAACATATCTTGGTTTTATAAATACCACAAGGATTGATTCTATTCAGGAAAGGCCAAATGGGGTTTTCAATTCTCCTTACTTAAAAGGCTGTTTGCCATATTTGCCACATATTATCTTTACAATAAACAATTGTATACAGAAGAAGGCAGGGAGGGGGGAGAGAATGAGAGGAAGATCACACAATAAGAAATATGATCCGTAACCTGACATTTTTAATTTATTAACATAGCGTGTTTGAGGCCAATTTTTTTTATTCAAAAATAGAGTAGTAGGGACTCTAAGAGAGAGTCTTCGGGAGAGAGTCTCTCCGTCCAGACAAAGAAGATGCTAACTATAACCTGACTGAAGCTCTAACCACACAACTTCAAAGCTCTGAACTTTTCCTTTAAAGCTCTAACACCTCCTAAGGTCTGATGTGGTTTTATTCAGACATTTCATCTCATGTCTTTTCTTGGAATATCGTCTGATCTGACGGTTATCTTTTTAAGAGAATTTAGAGTATACAAAAATACAGACTCTTTTATCCATTAAAAAACTTCCACACACACAGGAAGTGGTAGCAGTTTGGGGTTTTTGACCCGAAATAACATCAACAAAGGTCCCTCTCATGTTGCATGCAGACCCAACAAGCTCAGCCAATCAGAACAGCAGTTTGTAAAACATAGTAGTTCAATCTGTTGGTCCAACATGCCTCTTTATGATTGTGAAGTTATTCCTTAAGTAATCTTTCCATTGCACAGGATATGATGTCTTTTATTTGATTGTAGTGGATTTGTCAAGAAATTTTTTTTTGTCAAGAAAAATGCCGTCTCCATTACGTCACAGTAGTTATGAGCTCATTGTAGTGGCAGAAAAACAGTAGAATAAGTGGAGAGAAATCTGCACTGCTGCATCTCTGGTCATTTATTAAAAACCTCCTCAAACACCACCTGTTCACCAAAGCATTAAGCCTCATCTAACACTCCCCCCAGCTGATCACCCACTTCCTTTCTCCTTCATTTGTTTGTCTCTTGTTGCCTCCCATTACGCTGCTCAGAACAGGCTGTTTCTGTGTCTGTACCTTTAAATACAAATGAGCTGTGTCTGACCACGCCCCCTCTCTAGAAGGGAATGTGGCAATATGTCCTATTGTTAATGGTGAAAAGGCAGACTCAGAGGGCAGAACAAACACCTAGCTGTGGGAGTGTCACCCACTTGGGGGAGGGGCTACTGCCCTTTGTGATGTCACAAAGGGAAAATATCCAAACAGCCTGTTTGAGCACACGTTTTCTGAAAAAGCGGAACATGGAAAAGAAGGAGAGGATGGACTTTTTCTCATAATTGGGGATCAGTTGACATGCTAGTGATACATATTAGTGTTCGAATAACAAGGTTAAAATGTATTTAGCATAATATGTGACCTTTAAATAATTAAGAAAGAGTTACAGAGTTATTAAGAAAGATATACAACTGTAGTTGTCTGTCAGTATATAGTTGTTTGGCTTGTTTGTGAAAGACCACGTCTAGCTTTGCTGCGTTTAATGTCCTTGCTGCTGCCTAGGCAGTACGTTTGTCCTTAATACACAAAATATATTGTTGGACTCTGCCCAACAAACCTATCATCGATGTGTACAAACCCAAAAAAAAATTCTATATAGGGTTTAAAAATGTGTTAAACCTTAGCACGTTCTCCAGAATAAACTATTCCCCACCATTTTTACTCTGAACTTTGTTTGCTGCTTCCTGTTCGGTGGTGGAGAGAGGGCTCTTTCTGGTTGTTGACAGTATTCACATCGTATAATGTCCATGTTTATTTTAGCTAAGTCTAGAAACATCTAATAATCTTAAACATGTTGGATAGGGATGCACTGCTGTATTGGCTGAATGTCTGTCGGCCAATACTTGCCCTGTTTGTAAAACAGACACCTGTAATGTGCCACCCAACAATGTTAGTAGCAGATATGTGTCTGCGGTGTTGCAATTTACTGAGACTCAATCAATTTACTGTAATGCTTAATGTAATGTAAAGCTAGCAGGGGCGTGTCCAGCAGTGTGAGACTCTTACACTGTCTCAGAGAAGGATCATGCAGTTTGTGAGACATGTTCCTGTGACGTTTAACTTTGTCTGAGAACTTGTCAAACTTGTAGGAGAAATTAGTTTGGCATCAGTGAAATCATGTATTTTAGATGTGGTGATTGGTTCCTTTTGAAAGTTACATACGTTTAGCTGGTCACAGCCAACAACAAGCTTCTAAAATGTCTGGATTTCCAGAGCTTTTCAAAGTCTTAAACACTTGTGATGAGTTAACAGGCAGGGCCAGGTTGTCAAGAAAATCAAGGTAGTCTTAAACTTAAGCTTAAGGGAGAGTTTAAAAACGTTTCAAATCAGCTCATGTTGAAATAAGATCGAGTACACAGATACAACTCAGTGATCTCTCCAGATAGAGACACACTTCTGCTCTCACTCTTGCACAGACGTTAAGTCTCTACACACCAACAACAGCAGAGCAGTCACAGTGCAGTCACTATGAACAGAGCTGCTGTGACTACAGCTGTGTGGCATGTCACAGAATAGAGCAGCGACTCACTCAGTCTACTCTCAGCTGAGCCCCAGAGCTTACAAATGGTGTTAGTGCAGCATGATGATGACTGGACAATGGACTGCATCTAGGGTTGCTAAGCATCCCGTATTAGCCGCGACATCCCATATTTTGAGTGGTACTCACCGGTACGTTCCTTTTATTGACGTTATTTCTCTGTAATCACTACATGACACTTTACTGATCAGATCTGAAACAGCCAGTAGCCCTTCAAACAATGCTCACATCCGTCAACTGACAAGTGTCAATTCCAATCACAGCCACACTCGTGTGCATCACATCGAGAGGGCTGCAGCAGTCAATCAATAACAATCAGTAGAAAAAGTTTTGGCAATGAATTTGATTATTATTTTGTTGCGGTGAGTTAAACGTCACTCGCAGTGATGTGGAGCCTTTAAAGTCACACTCA